TCCAAACGTCTTTGATACCTAAGACCAGACCAACTCTAACTGTGGTCCATTCAGTCTGGTCTGGACTGTTAACATTCTTAAGTACTATTGAACATAAGCAGGATAATGGCTGTCTGATCCAATACTTTTTTTCAAAAATTAATCAGATTTCTTTTATTTTAATTGACAAAGTTCTAAAAAATATAGAAACATGTAATTTTATATGCAAAATCTTCAAAACTTGTATAATTATTATATAAAATTTTGTGTTAGAATAATTATTAAAAAATTTCATAGTGTGAATTAGCTTTGTTTTTTTTAAAATATATTATTATATTTATTAATTGTTATATTTAGATAAAAATTGAGCAATTGTCAAAAAAAGAATATTTATTTACTATTTTCGTCTTCGTCAAGTGTTTAAGATTTTTTACTCTAGTCAAATTGTCAAAATGGTTCTTGATAAGGAACTACCTTTAGTCAATACTATTACTGCTTTGTCATATAGGAGGTTTTTGTCAATATTTTTCGGATACTTAAATAAGAGAATATTTAAATTTTTGCATACTTAGTTGAGAAGAACTAAAAGCCTTTTTATAAAGTTGGGATATCTTTGGGATACCACGAAATGTGACGTATGAGAAAAAGTTGAATAAGTGTATATGAAGAAATCCAATTTCATTCTACTGCCTATAATAAAAACCATGCACTTCTACTCTATCTCCTGAAAGAAAACCAGGTGAAACTAGCTTCTCCATTATTAAAATTATGCACACCATACTCTCTCGAAAACAAGCACGGGAAGGACATAAAGTCATGGCCAAATTCAACAATCCTAAACTGCAAACGAGTCCCATTATATATACTTATTTGGATGGCAGGTGGGTGAACAAGTTTTTTGATTTTCAACGAATGTCAATGCTTGGGGAATTTTCCGAATGATATTTATTATTCTCTCCTTTCCTTTAAATTAAATGACAAGAGGAATTCACAAAAATGCATATTTGCCCTCCGTGAGAATATACTCATCCTGTAGATAATCTCAATATGCCCTTTTATTTCCTATTAGTCCTGCCCTGTCATACTTACAATCAATCACGAAATAGGTTCACGCATGATAAAAAAAAATCTCATTTATTATATCACAATGCTAATTAGCAACCTTTTAATTCTAATGAAAACCTTCGCCATTAAAACATGCAAGTAAATTTGTAAATGATTTAACAAAGTTGTTGAATGAACCAGACTTTTATGACGTAGAAGTTAAAGTTGGAGTGGTCCGGGATGATGTTGGAATCTTTAATATAAAGCTCATTCAAACATTTTAAAGGCTGCACCTTCATACTTTAAAAGCAGCTCTATCAAATAGTCGTAATAAAAATCCCGAGCATTGTGACATGCGATGAATTTGATTTTATTGATTGATAGTTTATAATCTTTGAAAATTCGACAGCGTCTCACGTTTCTTTTTAAAATCCGATAATTTGAAAGATTTGAAAAACAAATGCTTATATCAAGGTATTATTATTTAAGTTTAGAAGAAGCTGGTACTTGGAATTGTGTTATTAAATGGGAATCAGACAAATTGAAAATTTGGAAGAAGAAACAATGGAATAAAGATAATTTTAAGAGTTAAAGAATATACTAAATAAAAATTAGAATAATTATAACGACATTAATATAGTAAATGGTATATATATATATTAGATTTGATGTTTTTGAATAATTGATAAAATGTTAAAAGATAAAGATTTTTCTCTTTAATTCCAAATGCACTCTCTTTAAATGAATGTTCACTCAATAAAAATAACTTTATCCGTGCGTTGTTCATTTTTCGCCTTGATCACGTATCTTAATTACGTTGTGTTTGTGATCATTTCATTGACATTTGTTATATTAAGGTTATTTTGATTATATTGAGAGATATGGTCAAGAGAAGAGTTAGGAAGAGAGTTATTCTTCAACCAAGTCAAAAACCAACCTTTTAAATACATTTTTGAGTAGTCCATTTTAATTTATTAAACTACTTCAATGGTTTGTCACATGGTTGCTTCCAACTTCTTAAATTCGTTAATGAAACAATTGTTGGTGAAGTGATTGTTGACAAAATGAATCAATCCCATATTTATTTCTACGTTATCAAATTCACGATTTTAATTGGTCAATCAATAAATTGCATGGGTTAAAATTTTGTGTTCCCTCCTGTTAATTTTGTGTTCCCAGAACAGTCTCTCCTGTTGTTTAGAAACCCCAAACTACTTTTGAAACTAAACTGATTTTTATGATCATATGACATTTTGTTCAAGTTATTTCTAAATATAAATTTAATCTGAGAATTAAAGTCCATTGCATTTTAGAATGTTAAAATATCTGTTTGAGATATTTTCCATGAATCAATTATTTTATTAACAATATTCTTGATCAGTTTTTCCGATTTTCTTTATATGCAACTTTCATAAATCATTTTGATTTATTTATTAATTTTCCAATGTTTTTATCAAAGTTCCTTTTATTTTGATATTATTATCTTGACAATTAATTAATTAAATCATTGGTATAGTTTAAATCAATATAAATATTAACATAAAATTTTTTCTTAAAAATATATATAATTTTTTTTAACCACAATAATGTCAAACAATACTGATGTAGATATAAATAATTCATCAAATTCAAAAAAAACATGGTGGGTGACCAAAAAATGCAATTTGACAACATTTTGAATTTTATTCATTAAAACATCTAGGGCATTTTGGAGCCAAACGCAAAAGCATGTAATTGTGAATGTAGCAATGAAGTTGTTAAAAACTGCAAATCCATTTGGCACATGAATGTAAATATATTAAAGAAAATATCAAAAAAAGATATACACTCAATGGACAAAAAGTTTGTACCCAAAAATTATTTTGAGATTTTCTCAAAATTATATTAAATAAATATTTGTGTTCTTTACATCATTTCAAAGTTCTGGTTCTCGAGAAGTTTTTTATTAATAACAAATTTTTATCTTGTGAAATTTTTACAATGAAAAAATTAAAAATAAATTTGACTTTAAAATTATAAAATGGATGATCAATTTTAACAGATAAAATTTTATGTCCAATTTCAAAAAAATATTATTTATTACTATCTTAATATCTGGTTGACCAACCATTGTTGGCAATACATTCTTCTATCCTTCTGGGAATACTATCAATCAAATTCAAATATTTTTCACAAGGAATTTGTTCCCATTCTTGTCTCAAGAAAATTTCCAACTCTCCCAAAGTTTTTGGATGTTCAAATCGATTTTTTAATCTTTGGCCAAGTTCATCCCATAAGTACTCAATGGGATTAAGGTCTGGTAAATGAGAAGGCCAATTTTCAAGAAGGATGTGCTCCTTCTCAGACATCCCTGTTAATTCACAATTTGTTCCCATTTTTTAAAAAAAAAATGGCCATCAATTTCATGATTCCATAATTTTAATGCCAAATTTATTTTTAATGTTATCATAATTAAAAATTTCACAAAATAAAATTTGGTATCAATAAAATTTTTTTAAGAGCCAATGCTTTCAAATGATATAAAAATCGCAATTATAATTTTTAGAAAAGTGCAAATCAAAATGATCATCAATTTTGTAATTTTAATGCTGATTTCATTTTTAGTTTTATCATAACAAAAACTTCATAAATAAAGATTTAACAATAATAAAAAACTTTTTCAAGAACCATAACTTTAAAATGGTGTAAAGGTCACAATTATTTATTTAGTAGGATTTTGTAAAAATGCAAAATAATTTTTGGGTACAAACTTTTGTCCATTGAGTGAATGTATATTGTTGCAGAAAGAGATGGTTAAGTGAATCTTTAGAAAATGCAGCATATAAAGCAAATACACAATTACTTGCTAATTTTTGGGATAAAGATGAGATATTATTAAAAGAATGTGCAGGAATTCAATTTCAAAGGCTTTTGTGACTTGTGGTATTTGCAATTCACTTCCACCAATTATTATTTTATAATAATAGTATTTTGGTTGTTTCTTTTTAATAAGCAAAAATAAAAAATAAAGATTAAAAAAAAATATTTGTTTGGTTTGGGGTTTTGAAATAGTTTAGGAGTTTCAAAATAGTTTAGGAATGTCAAAAACAGTTTAGGAATTTAACAGTTTAGGAGTTTCGAAACGGTTTAGGGATTCGGGCTCATTTTCTAATCCAGTTTAGAATGGTTTTAATATCATGTTAATAAAAAAGACCTATAGTATATGTGACATGTAATAATAATTGTTCAGGCAGGGCAAATAAGAATAACTTATTACTTTGGTTAATAATGTTGGGTTGGTGTGAAATATGTGAAATTTATATATTATTGAACAGTAGACGATCTTTCTAATTTGGAACCAGCGATTTTAACAACGCGGAGTGTAATATTAATAATATCCATTGTACTTTTCTATTTCTTAATTAATACACATTATAGAACGATATTATGTAAAAAACTCAAATTAAACGATAATATTAAAAATTTGAACTGTGTAATTATATTAATTTTTAAATTATCCTGTGTACTCTTCTGTCATTAAGAGATGATATTTTAATCTAGAACTTTTCAGGAACTCAATTGTTAATTTACGATTTTTTAGAAAGAAATCAATAGCTTCCGATTCGGTAATCACCATACGAATTTCTCCTTCAGATGGGGGTACTTTTCAAAATTCAAGTTTCTTATATATATAGTACTTGGGTTCCATTTAGGATCGTTTTCTTTATCAATTAAAAGTGCTTAACTCTAGCTCTAAATCAAGAACATTTTTATAATAATAATAAAATTTATATTTTTGAATTGAAATTATGAGAAAAATACAAACTAATGTGCGATTAGAACATTATTTAAATATATATTTTTATTTACTGGTAGATAAGTAAGAAGAATAATTATTCATTGTGATCTTCCTCCCATGCGACCAATATGATAAAATACTATTTCTTTTGTTAATTTTCGTGCCTCCTCTTTTTTTCTTTCTTGTATTGCCTTCATATACTCTCTTAAACTTTTTTTCTTTTCTTCAATACATTCATCTCTTAGTAATGATACAGTAAAATTATTATATTCTTCAAGAAATTTATTTACGTCTTTCTCCAAGAAATAAGAATTTTCATTTATAAAAATATCACTATTATTAGCTGCATCTTTACTGTCATTGTTAACATCATTATCAACATTGATATCAGTAAAAGTAAGCCTTGGTGGCAAGAAGCTCTGATTAATACTAGGATGTTTTATGTGTTCAACATATGGTAAACATCGAAACATTTCATCTGGATACCTATCTGTTTTTTTAAGATCTTCAAAGCTAAAAAAAGCAATAATAAAAAATGTTATTATTATTGTGGTTATTATTATTATTAGGGATTTTTTATATTTAATAATGTAATATAGAAGAATATAATATAATCATAATCATAATCATATTTTACCTAATTGTTTTTTCTACTAAACAACTTTCACAAATTAATATTTTAAATTCCCATCTCAATGCTTCATTATTTTTAACTTCAGCGTCACAAAAGTAACATTTTGTTGCCAAAATACTCAACCAAATATATTGTTGTTCTGAAACATTTGGTGGTGGCGGTCTATCTACTTGCATTTGTTTATCACAATGCTTTATACGCGAGTTACGCCATATTTGTTGTGTATATGGTGAATTAGACCATAGAAATTTTCGCAGCTTTTTGCAAACTGTTGATAAAGTATATAAATCTGATGGTAGCAAGTATTCGCATATTTCTACTAAAACTTCATCAACCAACGTTAATAAATTGGTTTCTTGTGACAATAATGTGTATGAGAAATTTTCTGTTGATGTTGTTGTTGTTGTTAAAGATGAAGATGATGGAGATGATAGAGGCGATGAATTTTGTTTGATAGAAGTATCATTATCATTATTTATTAAATCATCATGTTTAATTAAATTGACACTTTTATCGTTATTATCATCATTATCGTTATCATTATTATTTAACGTCGCTACTTCAGAAGTTTTGTCATCATCATTTTCTTTTTTTGCGATAATTTCTTCATTCATTTTTTGTTTATAAATAATTATAAAATTTTTCATTCATTTACTTATGAATTCTTTTCATAATGGATATTCCATAAAAGATAAATCGTACTACTATGAATTTTTTAAATAGAAATTTTAATTTATTGTGTAGATAATCGTCGTATATAGTAGAATAAAATGTGAATATTAAGTAAATCTATATATTTAAAAAATGCCGTCATCGTCAATGTTTCATTTAGAATTCCCTAATACCTTCACATTCTTTTTTTCTCTATCAACACATTCTTTTTCTTTCCAATGCTTGTGATTGAGTTTCCATTCTTTTTCGCCTGTAGCCTCTTCAATTTCTTTAGTAAACCATCTAGGATGGAATTCTGGAATATACCAGTTTCTCTTGACTTTCTTTTTCTCTTTGTTTTCCCCTAACCTATTTTTTTTCGAACTTGCAGATTCATAACCACCTAATGTCATTGATCTTTGATCAGACCTAAACCTTGAATATGTAGGGTATTCAAGTTTCCATTGAATTGGGTAATCATTGCAAACGGTGTTAAGTTGAAGGTAAATGTTCGGGTGCTTTTTTCATAATAATACAATTGGTCTTTGTTGTGGTTGGGTGACGATATTTGTAATTCGAGTTTAAATGTCGATAATTTAACTACGGTGCAGATCATCTATAATCAATTAGCTAAAAAAGTTAGCCGATAAGTTTTTTATTATTTGTGACTCAAGCTTCAAATTTTATCAACAGACCAAATTTTGTTATAAGAAATTGAGACTAAGTAAATTTTGTGCAATAAAATTTTTTCCATATATTACTATATATTAATACTTATTTCCTTTATTTTTACACGAATTTGACTTACTTTTTAAAGCTGAATTCAATGGTGGTGGTTTTTATGTGGGATCACATAATATTTCAAATTTTTTATCTTTTAAGTATAGATGGTCCGCACTGTGCCTAAATTCTCTTCATGTGTTGAGGGGCATAAATTATTATTCTAGCGACCAACCTTTCATTTCATCTATATACAATCTCCAAAATTGCTGTCATATTTACCTCTCAACCCTAGCTTTAAAAGTTGAACTAATCTCCTGTCAAATGATTCGTTATAGTCATAACTCACAGTTTAACCAATTATTTCCATGAATAATGTTCAGAAAGTGCTTTGGGATTACCATTTGCTGGAAAGTCTTTAGTTAATATTCCTTTAAAACTTTTAGTCTCATACGCTTACAAAGAATAAAGTCGGCAAGATGATTGAGGAAACTGAAAAATTCGCAGAATCAGGTACAAAACATAAAGATGTTATTGAGGCAAGCTAATCAATAATTTATGAAATAGAGAAACATTTAGATCAATTCAAAAATTAGGTGGATGCAGAGTTGTCACTAAAAACTTAAAGAAAAATGGGGAAATTAAAAGATGTAATTGCAAAAGGAGAAGATGCGAATACTGAAGGAACTAAACAAGAAATGCATGAATTAAAACAAGACAGTATTAAATTGTTTGAAACATTACATGCCAGAAATAATAATAGTCAACAATCGTCATCATCATCAGAAGGTTGAGGGGACTCGTCCAATTCATCATCAAAAATTATAATGTGAAATAATCAATCATCCAAAACTAATAAAAAAATTAGCGTCAATAAAATATAAATTTACTTTGTAAATGAAGATTTTTTTATTTTAGAAAAATAAAAAACCATCCGCATTCCTTAAATAAATATATAACAGTGGGTTCTTGAAAAAAAGAAAATAATTATTACCATCATACCAAAATAGTTTATCTTTACAAGAAATAAATATTAATTATTACTCACAGTTACGGCCATACATAGTGAAAAGCACCGGAACCCGTCCGATCTCCGAAGTTAAACCACTAATGGCCCAGTCAGTACTATGGTTGGGGACAACATGGGAATACTGGGTGTCGTAACTTTTTATTTTATTTTTCAAAAAAAAAAATTTTTTTTGCTACGTATATTTTATTAAAAACAATTTATCAATCAATCAATCAATCAACGATAACATTATTTTACTGGACTTGAATTAGTTCAATTAAATTTTGTTTTGGTTGTTTCATATTATCAGGAAAATATTCCAATAATATTTCATACAATTCCATTCGATCATTAAATGAATTATATATTTCATCTATTATGTTTTTTTTTTAAAAAAAAAGATTATTTACATGTGTAAGTAAATATATATACAAATTACATAAATAAATTATACTATCAAGATTTACCTCTTTTTATGTTAAATAATCCAGATGTTAAAGCTTGGAATTCAACACGTTCTGATTCATTTTCTTGATCCACTAATTGGCCTAATTGAACCTGAAGATATTTTAATGCTGCTATGGAATTACCCTCAAAACATAACTCTTTGTACCTAAATAAAAAATAATTATCAATGATTATTTCAAAAAAAAAATTGAATAAAGCAAAGATCCTTACTTTTGTTTTCGTATAAAATATTTAATTCCTCTTAGTAAATTCTCTGGTTTTGGTCTTTAAAAAATACATTAATAAAAACGAATTATAGATTACTTATCTATACTATTGATTAATTAATTGCCACCTTATTAAATGAAATTCCCAAAAATCATCTAATCTTTGTTTCATTGAAGCTTCAGTTTCAACAAATCTACCGCCAAACAAATAATGAACTTTATTTAGATTATCGTAGATGAATTGATGTGCAAGTCTTGGCCTAGGCTCGACAGTTTCATTACTTAACCAATAATATGAATCATGGATTTCACTCTGATATATTTTCGTCCATCTGTCTTTTAATAAATCATAAACCCAAAAGGCGTTCTTGATTACATATGATCTCTTGTCTCTCTTCTCTCTTAGTCCAACTAAGACATAAATTTCTTTTGTTTCTAAATCAATATTTATACGATGAATAAAAATCAAATCTTGGTCACATCTTGTCATATATTCAGTTGACAATTCATATACTGAATCTGCACTGATATCATATACAAAAAAGTCGCTGTGGAAAGAGCAATATGTAGAATATATGTAGATGTAGATATTAATTATATTATATTATATAATTATTTATAACCTAGTCCGCCTATATATATACAATCAATTAATCCCAATGTAAGACAAACCTTAAAAACATGTTGTCACAATCTCCCCCTCCAATTATATATAATAAATTTTCATCTGGATCAAATAACATCGAGATACCAACTCTTATCCTAAGTTGAGCTTGATCATTTGGTAATTTATATTCAGATCTATAAAAATATATTTGTAAGGAATATTAGTTGTCAATAGATGGAATAAAAATATTTTATCAGATATATAAACAACCTAATTAATTTCCATTCATTTGTTGGTATGTTGTATGAATATAAGCCGCTAAAGTTAAATTTATCTGTGTCTTTATTTATTATTTTTCCACCAAATATATATAATATTTGGTTTTCATAATCTATACACATTTGGTTATCGTATGTTAATTGGGGTCCACCTTCGGACTAAAGTAAATATATAACAAATATATGATTTATATATGTTATAAATATAATAATCATATCCATATAATTATAAATGTATAAATGTATATATATAAAAATACTTGCCGCAGTATCCTCAGAAAGTAAAAACCATTGGTTAGTGGTGATATTGTATTGGTAAAAATCTGCATTAAGATTGACAATTGATCTCATCTCATGACTAATAAATTTTCCATACACATAAATTTTCTTGTATTTTGGATCAAAACACATTTTATGATTTGATCTTGGTTCTGGTCCACCTTGTCTAATTATAAAATATATATTTTAAGTATATATAATATACAGAAATATATATTTTTATATATATTATATTAAACAAATAAACATACTCTTCAGTATCAGAACTTATTAGTGACCATGAATTCTTATTAATATTGTAAACCCAGAAATCTGATAAATTTGTGGTTCCATTCCAACCTCCAAGCAAATAAATGTCCCCAGCCTTTAATTTAATAATCAATCAATTATTAATTGGTGATATAATATGTTGTTAGATATTTTTTTATAATTTATAACAATCACACACACATATATATATTGACAATGTAATGTTTGAATCCAATCAATAATCACCTCTGCATCTATACACATTTGATGTCCACCTCTCATACATGGAACTTTATCATCTGGTATTTTTATAAAAAAGCACAATAATTAATTCATTAGTATATTTTTTACCTAAAAAAAATTATAATCATACCTGTATCATCATCATCATCATCATTCCTATTTGTTTCAATTCTTTTCCAATAATATTTGTATATACATTTACGAAGATAATCTTCAAACAAGCCATTTGTAACAGCTTCACATATAATCTCTTCTGATAATTGGAAATCACCATTTATTACTAATTGAGTATATAGATCAGTCAGAACTGGATCTTCCAATAATATATGTGTACGTGATTGTAAAGCATCAAAAGCGTTCAAATAATTTTTTTGTCTAAAATGCTTTAAACAAAGTCGAATTGCTTCGTTTTCACGATACTAAATTAAATTTAAATTTAAAAGTTGAAATTTTCAATGTTTATTTCAATTAAACGCCAATCTTCCATTCTAATAATTTCAATAATGACTTACAGCTAAGTAGTCATAGTATGCTTTTTGAACAATTTCTTGATCTTGAACACCTTTTAATTCAACATACCATATACTAAAACTATGATTTGTTGCATATGCTGCAAGTGGAATTATTTTAATAAATTGGAAAGGTAATAACTACTCACATATTATGTATATTTATTTATTTATTATTATTTATATTATAAATATGTTGATTATTATTAATACTATTAGTAAAAAAACTTTTTTACTTACTACATTATTTGTACAATATTTAAGTTGAAATGTTTCAGCATGAGGATTATTTTGTAAACCTGGAATAAATTGATTTTATGAGCAACTAATTTTGACAAAAAAATAGATCTTAACGTAAAAAATAATAAATAATTACCATTATGAAGAATCTCTATCATGTTATTTGGTGCAAGTCCTCCATACACTTTAAATTGCTTAAGATTACACACATGCTCTAAAAATCAATAATTTAAATAAAAATAAGAATCTAAAGGTATACTACATGTATTTATTCACAAGTATAAATAAATTACCTTTAAAATATTTTCCCAATACTATATTATCTTAAAATAAATTCAAGAAAGTTGTTAATTCTAATAATTTTTCATGAAATTCAATCATAAATTTCAATGCATTATTATTAAAGAAATAACTATGTATACAAGGATACAGACAATGGCCATTTTGTCTAGTTTTAATAGGACATATTGAGTTTGTCTACCATTATTATAACATGACCATCTGGAAGTTTGTTCAGAAGGTTTATTTTCCATAATGTTTTTTGGATGATATGACGTCGAATAAGAAGAACAAGAGTGAATCTCGTATGATAACTTTTCAATTGGATATTCGTGTTGAAACCGCTGTCTTTTTTTTATTGATAACGACATGATAAATTATAATTTTTGGAGATTTTTTGATTGATATTGATCGAGTAAAGAGTAAAGAAATTTCAATGAAATAATTGTAGATCATTACTAAAATAATTGTTTGAAGTTCATGATAATTACCATTTTGTTCTTTTTGCTTTTTTTTTTATTTTACACATTTCATCTTAAATATAATAATTGTTTTTAAAAAATGGACACTGACCAAGAAGAAAGTATAAATGAAGTTTCTGAAAATCTTGTTAACGAAGAAGTTGATGCTGATTCACCAGATTCTTCTGAAGAAGAGGAGGAAACTGATGAAGAAACTTACAAAAAAGTATTGTAAACTTAAAAAAAGCCCTTTTTTTTTGCTTAATTGATTTTATAAATACATATATACATCTATAGGAATCAAAAGGATTTATTGTTGACGATGAAGAAACTGAAGATGAGGGGGTAGGAGAGGAAGTGGTGGAAGAACAAACAAATAAATTATTTTTCAAAAAAAGGAAACACAAAAAGAAAAAAAGAAAAAGAATTGTAGAATGTTGGTATTTTTTTTTCTCGTAGTTCTTTAAATATTATTGTTAATATTAATCATCTTTTTTTATTTAGCCGATGATTCTGACGATGAAATTCTAGAAGATGATCTAGACCTTTTAGCAGAAAATTCAGGCCAACATAAACGTCTTAAACGTGGACATAGCAGAGATAAGGATGTTTCTAAAATATTTGATGAAGATGAGGAGGAATTGGGTCTGGAAAATCATGATAACGATTCAGATTTCATTGTTGATGATTATGAGGAAGCCGCCGGATTACCTATGGAGTATGAACATACTCCACAGCCTAAATTATATAAACAATCAGAAAGTTACAGATATATAGATAATGAGTATGTAGTAATACTTATTCTCATTTAAGTGATTCTTTAAATATTGTTGCATAAAATTAATTTTCTTATGTTTATTTACAAATAACTATATATTAATTTATTGTTTAGTGCTAAATCAACATGGCATTACGTCTTTTCAGATTTAGATGGTCTATATATCGACGCGCTTGATTCACCTGTAAGTTATCCATTCTCTCATATTTTAATTTAACATCGTTACTAATGTGCGATTGTTCACTAATAGGAGCCTACAGAAGATATAGAGTTTGCATCCCAAGGTATCAAAGCAATTTTAGATCCAAATACTTTAAAGGCAATGATGATGACTGATGAAGACAATGAAATTCGTGAGAAAGATTTACCAGAAAGAATACAGGTAAATCTATCATTATACAGTTTACGAGTATAAATATAAATTTCCTAAAAAGTGAATATATATAATAATTATAATTAATTAATTTGTAGTTGAGAACAGAAATTCCAACAGATTATAAACTTAGTGAGGCTGAAGTTAGAAAAGCTGCTAAATGGATATCAAATAAACTATTCAAATTCAGAGATCATAGAATAATAAATCAAAATGATTTACTAGAAGCTGTAAAAAATGTAGTAAGACATATTTCTCAAGAATTTTATGAGGTTCCATTCATTTTCACCTACAAAAGAGACGAATTTGTTCAATTTGTTGATTTCAATGGAAGACCTAATGAAATTTTGACAAGAGAAGATCTCTGGATTATTTATGATTTGGAATATACTTTTAGGAAATTTTTAGAACGTCGTAAATATGTAAAGGAATTTATGGACAAATATAGTATTAATGATGATTATATAAACGGGATGACTGTTGAAGCTACAAACGTTGATGAATTGAACGATTTACTTGATTACTCTCATCTCAAATATGGATCTGAAATTGCTTCGAAATCCACTCCTCCTACTCAGAAACGTAGAACGAAAAATTCATTCTATCGGGAATGTTGTAAACGTGGCGTTGGTAAATTAACTAAGGTAAATTTAAATAATCTTTTTTTTATAACAGAACATAGTTAAATAATCAATTTTTTATTGCTTTGCTATTAAAAGAAATTTGGAATAGATATTGAAAAATATGGTGAAAGTCTATCTTCAGATCATAAAACTTATTGGCCCATTGATCCTGACAAATCAATTAAAGAAGAGGCTTTACAACTTAATAATTTTAATGAAAACAGAGCAAATCTATTTATTAAAGGTAGTATTTGGTCATTGTTTTTTAATGAAATTTATAGCAAATAATTAATTATTACTTGGTATTTTTATTTAAAGATGCTGTAAGAATGCTCTCCCAAGAAATAGCAACTACTCCACCAGTCAGAAAATTTGTAAGAAGTTATTATTTAAAACATGCAAATGTTGTAATTTGTCCAAATAAGATTTTAACAGAAGAGGATAAAAGTTGCTGGGTAATTCATTAAAAATTTTTTTCCTCGATTGATAAAAAAATAATATTAACCATCAAAAAAAAATTTTTTTTATGAAAAATAAGTCATTCCGATTTTTGAAAAAACCAATTCAAAAATTTGCTAACAGTGGACAATTTGCTGAAATTTTAAAAGCAGAAGACGACGAAATGATAAAAGTTTCAATTGAATTAGATGATAAAGAAAAGTTTTTACGAAGACTAAAGGAATATATAGTTAGTGATAATGCCACCAATGACCCAACTATTAATGAATGGAATAAGTATAGAATGGAAGCTGTTGATCAAGCATATAGTGCTAATCTTGTTCCGTTCTTGAATTCGTGGCTAAGAACAATACTCAAGAATGATGCTGAACAATGGATTATGGAAAAATTGATGTTAAGTCTTGAAAATGTATGTAGTCTTTGTATTTTGTTCAATTATATCATGTTAAGCTATTAATAACAATAACAAATAGTGGTGATTAATAATCATTTCTTTCATCTTTTTTAATAGAAAATTAATTTTAAACCATTTAGACCTGCTGGGTCATCTAGAAGAAATGATACATCTGCTGAATCATCATCTAATAAAAATGACTTGCCCTCTGTTTTAGCAATTTCATGGGGTGCTGGTGGTCATAAAGCTAATACAGAGTGCGTATTGGTTGGCAGTCAAGGAGAAGTTATGGATACTTACGATTTTGGTGATCTCAAGAGTGGTCAAGAGGATTTTTTTGGATTATTGAACCAATACAAACCAGAAGTTGTAGTAGTTAAATGCTATGATATTAAAACGAAATATTTATTGGAAACAGTCCAGACTTTTGTCAAAGAGTATAATGATGAAAAAAATGGTTATATTCCTGTGATGGTAGTTAATGATGAACTTGCTCATATTTATAAAAATTCAAAAGCTGCCATTAAAGAACACCATGATCGCAATACAACAGAGGTTACTCGTTATTGTATTGCATTGGCTAGAACAATTCAAGATCCTCTTAATGCTTATGCATCTCTTGGTGAATTATTAGCAGATATTTCCCATCATCCATTACAAAAACTTGTGAGTATCTATCTGATGATGATGATAATGATGATGATAAGAATTTATTCATTTATTTAGATCCATTGCTAAAATATATATGCATGTATTTTTAAACAGTTACCTAAAGAAAAGGCACTTCAAGGCTTGGAACGTGCCTTGATCAACATAATAAGTCAAGTTGGTGTCAATATAAATGATGCTATCAGAAACCCCTATAAGGCTGAAATGTTGAAATATGTATGTGGGCTTGGTCCTAGAAAAGTTGATGCTTTACTTAAAATACTTAGATTTGATGATCATGAGGAGGTGACAACAAGGAAGGATTTAGAATCATACCTGGGAAAAAATATAGTTTATCATAATTGTATTCCGTTTATTAGAATCTATCCAAAACCAATTGAATATTTAGATAATACAAGAATTCTTCCACAACATTATATTCATGCCCGTAAAATGGTTACAGGTGCATTGGAGCTTGGTGATGATGAAATAGAAGACGATAACGAGATTGCGATAAAATTGGAAGATTATAAAAAATTGAAATTAGAATCATCTAAGCTTAATGATTTGAATATCGAGGATTATGTAACGCGTATTAAAGATTTAGATAAATCAGCTACATTATTCTTGATTCATATGTACAAAAAAGAATTGCTTGATCCATTTGAAGATTATAGAAGATCATTTGAGCCATTGAAACCAGAAGAGGTTTTTGCAATGTTAACTGGAGAAACAGAAGAAACTTTGGCCTATGGAATGGTAATACCAGTCACAATCACCAACATTAAACCAAAATTTGTGGAGGTTAAATTATTATCAGATTTGAGAGGTACAATTTTACCAAGTAAAAATGAAAAAAATTTTGAAATAGGTCAAATGGTGATGGCAAAAGTTTTGAAAGTTGATAAAGAAAAGTTTTCAGTGATTTTAACTACAAGACATATTGAACATGATGATGATGATGAAAAACTAGATAAAACACAATTGGATGATTATTTTGATCACGAAGCAAAGAAAGAATATATTGAACCAAAACCAAGTAAAATATAAATTTATTCTTTTTTTAAAGTTATATTATTAATCATAATATTTATAATTTAATATTTATTTATTATTAGTAATAAGAGAAACACTTATCCCCAAAGTTGAGTTTATACGTACTCTTGATCATCCATATTTTGTCAAAGTTAAAGATTACAAAGAGGCAGAAAATCATCTTGCTGAGAAACCTAATGGAGAAATTATTATTAGGCCCTCATCAAAGGGATATAATCATCTTGCAATAACATGGAAAGTTTGGGATGATATTTATCAACATATTGGTAAGTATATTTTATTGTTATACAAAAATGAGAAAATATTCAGAAACATCGTTATAAGCAAAATCCTAAACCAAAATGATAATAGATATTATTGAGAGAACTGAAGATAAAGATGGAAAGGAAGTCGTATCTTTTACAGTAGCAGGTGGAAAGGATGTGTATAGTGATATAGATGAATTGATAGTGACATATGTTGAACCAATTTATGGAAAAGTTGAAGAGTTAACTTCCCATATCAAGTATAAGCCATCTAAAGAAATTTTAAGTATGTTTTTTTTTGAGGGAGAGAATATTGACCAATCAAATAAAGTAA